CCTGCTCCTCTGCAAGCCAATCTCCACAGAGCAGCTGGAGGTAGTTTGTAAGGAAGGCAAACGCAATCCTTTAAAACATCAAAGCCCTTCCAGGGAGTCCCATTGCCCTCAGGCTCAACTCTCAGACTCCCGTCAGGCTGCAAGGAGCCCTGAAACAGCTCAGCCACACCCAGGCAGGCTCTCCTTTCGCTTGGGCCTCCTCTCCGGGCTGCTCTTTGGTAAACTGGCCCCTTGGCTTTGGCTGCCAGGAAGCTCAGGCCAGGCAAAGAGAATTCTCTCTTTCCATTAGTGATGTTTTACTATTGGGAGATCACAGATTGAAGACTCTGATAGAAAGCTATAGCCAATCTCCTTTCCAAATTTTTACACCATGTCAAAGGACTCATGCATCTTCTGAAATGTCTTAATAAATAGTGTGCCCATGAAATCTTGGGGCCTACCTTGAGTAAAAAAATTTATTCGTTTTCTGAAATTCAAATTTATCTGGGTCCTGTATTTTATCTGGCACCCCTGTTAATAAACCTCCTTAGGAATTATGGACCCCAGATAGAGAGCCTCCTCTCTAAATTGTTTTTCTTTTCTAAAATCGTCTGCTTCATCTGGTCTTGTGTGAATGTGTTTATGTTATAAGCAGCTGAAGCAGATCAGAAACAAATGAAAAATGCAATCAGTGAACAAATACTGGTAGCAGTTGAATTATGTCAAATTGTTATCAACCACTTGGTGATTATGATTTTTAGCTAGAAAGCACATTGGTTGTAGTATGATGTTTTCATTTGGAAATGTAAGTCTATTTTGGTGAGTTTAAAATACGTGTGCATTTCTTGGTCTTTCTCTCCCCACCTCCTCTTTAAAGACCTCTTTACCTCCCCCTCCATTACTGTTCACATATGCTGTGTGCTCAGGCCCTTGCATTCTAGAAAGCTTATTTCATTCTCCCACGTCACTGGCTTGTCAGCTCTGCACCCAGTTGCCTGAAGGGATATAGCGTGGTGGTAGCAGAAGCTGTCTTTGATATTTTATTTTGAACCTTTTCCACTGCTGTTCACCTTCTCATCTCTCCCTTTCTCTCCTCAGCCTCCCCTTAGGATCTAGCTAGTTTACCTAAGAACATAGGCCTATGGGCATGAATGCAAACCTTGTTCTCTTCCTCTTCTGAAAGCCGGTGTGTCATTTGGGGATGTCCTGTTCAAATGGGGTCACCATTGTTCAGACTCAACTTTCTAGGCTGAATTTTTTTCTTTTTGGGTTTCTTATGTAATGGGCACTTTCGGGGAGAGGCAAGAAAGCTCCAGGCTTTTCCTGAGGCTTGCTGAATTGTAGGATTCTATCTTACAATGTGTTTTCTAGACTGTTTAGAGAATTTAAACGTCTTACCCAAGTTTCCTGTACGCTCTGCTTTGTCAGCTTTTGCTTCTGTCTTGCCTTGAGGCCTGACTCCCCTGTCTGCCAGGTGAATCAACTTGCCTCATAAGTCTTGCCAGAAAGATATGCACCTTAACTTGTCACACAGACTGTTGCCAGGGAGCCTGTGCATTTCTCAGTGAACTAACATTAACCTCTCTCTTTAAGGGTCTTTTGCTACAGACGAAACAAATCACCTTCAGTTCTCCCAGCAGTCATGCATGGCAAATGAGAACAGGAGGGATAATGCGGCCAGTGAGTACACAGCTAGTCACTTGGCAGTGAGGGACTTAAACATGGGCCCTAAGATTTCGCCAAGAGCATCCTCACCACCTGTAGTGTGAGACAGGGACTGTATATAGTTCTCTTTAGAGACAAAGGGGAAAGGAAACATTCATCTAGGAAACCTGATCATGGAGTTGGTCCCCCTGGATCTTTGATACCCACTCCCCTCCCTTTTCAAAGTGCACGTATCCACCGAATGTTTACACAATGTTAGGGGGTTCGTGGAACTTTCTGAAGTTGGTTAACAGATAGGGCTGTCATGCAAGATATGGACATACCTAGACTGAAAACGGTATTCAGTATTTATCTCAAATTCAGATAAACTTGGCCTCTCCAAGCTCTCCTGAGTATACCCTCAGCAGCAAGCAAGTCCAGTCAGTGTCGGGCAGAGCCAGTTCAAAGGCTCTGATGTTGCTCACTGTGCACAGCTGCACGCTTCACAGCACACACACACACACACACACACAGCCAGATACAACGGGGCTCAGCCCCGGAGCCGATGACTATCGCCCACATTACCGAGAATTTACAAAGACCTGGGTTCTGTTATTTTCCCATCTTGCAGGTGATGACAAAACTGAGACTCAGTGATTTGAGTGTTACTCTAAGGTAAACGGCGAGTAAGTGGTAGAGCTCAGAACTGAACCTAGTTCCACCCCGAAAGCCTTTCCCTTTGTCTCTCACCACCCACCTTTTGCTTGGAAGAGCCCGTGTGTCCAGCCAGCACCGCCACCCTATCCCAGCCCCCCTGTACCTTCCAAATCGTCTCTTCAGCCTCTTCACCCGCTCTACTGGCCTCGCCGGCTCTTCGTCGAGGACGTGCCGCCCCTGCTGGGCTCCCTCGCCATCCTGTTCATCACCCTCCAGCACCTGCCTCCCCAGCAACAGACAGCCAGGCTGCAGTGGGCTGAGCTTGCACCAACTGACTTCCAGACCTGCCGACTCCTGCCCTCTTTTCTCCGCCACTCGACCACGTGCCTACGTCACATGGCCTTGAGCCACGTGTGTTGCGCAAATTTCATTTATTCCCATTTTGTCATGATTTTTCTCATCTTTGTGAGATTCACCTTTAAAATTTCAGGTTATCTTAAACTTTATATCTTAGCCTCAATGAGAAACAAGTATTACTTTTTATTAGAAGTTAAGCATAAAAAAATAACATGAAAGAAAAACAGTGCTGATGAATTCCAGCTCTGCATGGTTGCTTGCCTGTTGCTATCAGGACTGAGGTTGCTGGTCATCCTTAGAGAGGCTGGCACCAAACCAAGGCTCTCCATTTGCCCTATTCAGAAGGATTAAAAGAGAATGACCTACAGAGGGATTCAGTGTAGATCAGCTAAAATGATCTTAAACAGGCCAACGATACCCATCTTTGGAAAACAGCAGTAGAGGTCAGAATCCAAAACCTGACCAAGCTGACTCCAGACCTGCTCCAGCCCCTAAGCTAGTACTCCACGTGTCTCTCCCCCGGCACAGGGAGAAGCATGCGGGAGGCCAGAGTGAGCTTCCCTGGGGATGCGAGGCTGCTATCCGGTACCTAGATGAAGGACTCCAGGCAGGAAGCCCTGCACCACACCCCACAGGCATGCTCAGTCTCTGGGCCGATTGGATCTGTTTGCCATTCGTCTACCTTAACAACCAGCGTGCTGCCGAGAAGAATGTGCAGCCTCATGCCTAGAGATGCCCTATCTAGGAAACGGGACTGTAATAGGCAAAGAGCTGCTCTCCGCTGAACGCTTGGTAGGGAAGTACCTAGCAACCCCTCAATAAGTAACCAACCTTGTTCTATAGCTGCTTTATGCATAAACCCAGATCAGTCCTCAGCATGACGAGACTGCCAGAGGACCACAGAGATAAACATTCCCAAACTAGAAACCGTTTCCTCCGCCTCTTGAAGCCATCCTTTGTTTGGCTCCAGGAATTCAGCATTTGCCTTTTGCTTAGGTGAATTTATGCATTGCCTCCCCCTACTGGGCTGAGTTCCTGGGTAGGGGTATTGCCTCCCCCTACTGGGCTGAGTTCCTGAGTAGGGGTTTTGTGATGGCTCTTTTAGTGTATGTTATAAATCATATTAGATGATGGTGGATCTGCATTTCTTATCTCAACCTTGCATCCTTCCTGGAACATAGTATTTTTCTCTAGGTACTTAGTACTTGGGTTTGCTGCCGCTACACACCCTTGTTTATTATCACCTCCTGTCCCCACTCCCACCCCATGTTGTAATTGAGTGGGGTGTGTTGTTTGTAAAATATGCAAGCATCGCCCCTAACTCTGATAGAAAGTCAGAGCCCAGGCAGGTCTCCACACCCTGCTGTGTCAGCAGAGTTCGTTTGTAATTCATCAAACTCTCCTCTGTGCCTGCCATTACTTTATAGATAATTGGTTGCCTCTCATTTACTTATAGCCCAGCCGTGCAATTTCAAAGCAACTGAGTCAGCCCAAAACAGCATTATTAGTAGCTACAGATGTACTGTCAAGGCAAAATTTTGACACTAGAAGTTTTGAAAAAAATCACCATAATTTCAGCCACTGGACCACACATATCATAATCATGGATAGTCAAAAGTGGACGAGAAAGGACAGGTTTACTTATTTAGCACACGTTCTGGTCACTGAATTGTACCTTTCGAAATCTACCCCAACAGCTTAGAAAAAAATCTCAGCCTTCTCCAAGAGGGTCTCCTCTCAGCTCAGCAGCCTCCAATGAGAAAGACCCAAGGAGCAGATCATAGTATTCATGTTTCCTCAGGGAAGAGGAAGAGTTAACTTCAGCTCCTTGGCCAGTTCAGTCCTAAACCCACTAGGTAATCCCCATGTCGGGGTG